GCCCGGACCCGGCCAGGCCCGAGTCCAGGACTGGGTCAAACATATTCTTTGTTAGTGGGGGTATAGATTTTTTCTTCTTCGTGAAACATTGGATATATTGCTCCAGTGATTGAAATGACTCACTGAAAATTTAGCGCAGAAATAACTAAAGAAAAGTTGGCTGCATAAGCATATCGAAATTAATGCCGTGTGCAGTAAAAATACGGAAGATAAAGACCCATTTGATTCAAGATCGCATTTTCTTCAGTATATCCTCTCCCGACATCTTAGGCGGTGAACGCTTATTCGAGGTGGATTCCCATTGACCCTTCACATTTCTGCTGTTAATATACTCCGAGAAAGATGGAATAGGGGGCAATGTAGTGGCAGCAGCAATGCAGACAGCTTCCTCTTTTTCATCCATTTCTTTGTCTGTTTCAAGAGTGTGCTTGGTCTTCTCATGACCCGATAATACTAATGAAACAACAGACGGATTTGTTGGTGGTGGGCGGCCTCCGAAGAAGAAGATACACTACAGCTGAGCTTATTTCTAAGTTCTGTGGGGTCTGCTTTTGAAAGCCACCTCACTGTACTTGCCATTTGTGATAAGTAAAACGACTTTCCACTTTTACCATACTTTTTTGTAACATTCCTTTTCAAGAGTCGAGGCAGAATCTTCTAAGCTCAATCTGCACAAAGAGAAAAACCAATTTCAGGATAAAACCTTGGGGTGGATGTGGGGGATACTGCTCTTATTACCTTGTATCAGAGAAACCTCTCTTCATTTTGTTTTAATGCGTTTAGCAATCTTTGTTTGGCTGTCTCTCTTAACGTTTCAGATACTGCATTTTTGTCTATTTTATTTGTCTGAGAAAAAAACATGGAAAACTCAAAACTGTGGGCAAGTAGAACTCAATATCTAAGGCTCTAAGCCATGTTTGGTGATTCTGAAGAGGATGGGAGAGGAGTGGTATTGGTTTTACTAATGATGCATCAGAAAATTAATTCTTAGTACTCATTAGTAAGGATTTTAAAAGGTTAATCGATTTAGGTTTAGTAATAATGGATTAAAATTGATTAGATTTACAAGACTCGTGTCAATTTTGAGAACTGCCGTCAAAATTTTTGAAAAACACTTTCTGGTTTTCATTATTATGTGTATAGTTTAAAAAAAATGGGAAATTGAAAATCGGACCGAAACAATCCCTCAGAATGCGGTTTCTCACATTCACTTACTTTCCAAGTTCCAACAACTAATAATAGAGATACATCAGCAAAATAAACATCACCCCCTCCCCCAGTCCCCACCCTCCCTCCCTCATTCACCATTATCCTCAGACATACCAATAATAATGACAACAACAATAATAATCATAGTAAATAATATGTAGTAGTGATAAAATTTTATTAAGAATAGTAGCAATAGTTATAAACTTATTAACAATAATTTTAATAGCAAATTAGAAGAACAAAACCTGCTTCTCAGTATTGTTGTTTTTGTAATAATTCTCTTCTGCTCGTTGCAGCAATTCAATTTTGTCTTGGATTCTTAACTTTGTTGATGTCCTTGAAGAAGCTACATTCTTTGCAGCATCAAGAACTTCTGTATTTGTGCAAATTTGTATAATAAGCCTTTAAAAATTTTACCCTACATAATTCAAAAGACTACATGCATGCAAGGATTATTTTTTTATCTCGATCAATTGTACCGTCTGAATCAGAAATGTCTTCTTCTGACCCACTTGCATCATCCTCACGGTTCCAGAATTCAGAGTAGTCTCTGTCATTGAGGTTTTGTACGCTACAAAAACAAAATCAAGTCAAATCCCGTACTATGGCAAGTGAAGCCAAGTTTGACTCATTTACTGAGACAGCATATCTGTGATTCCAGGGAATGGGGTGGGGTGCAATGCCTATGTTTCGATCTGGAAACCAAGGAATCAGGAAATTCTATGATATTTAAGTGTGTGTTTGGAAAGCGTACAATACTAGGGTTAGACAATAAGGTGGAAATAGAGAGGAACATTGGAATGAAAAAAAATTGGAGGAAAATAAAAGCAACAAACTCAACAAATTCATTTTATGCTAGTGCTTGTTAGAGCTCATTTTATATATTTATTTCTATTGTATAAAGAGTGAGAAACCTAAATATATGTCATCAACTCATCATCATCATCATTACCCCAGTGCCGCAAAGGCTCCCACCTTCGGTAGGGTAAGGGAGGGGTCGGATGTACACAGTCTTACCCCTATGATAAAGCACAAAGAGACTGTTTCCGAATGACCCATAGTGAAAATCGCGTCGAAAGTTGCATGGACTAACTGCTTCATAACAAAGAAGCGCAGACAATTTAGTGATCATTTTGCTTTATTCCATCATATTCCCAAGCCAAAAAATAGTAAGTGGCTCCATTGCAAATTATGGAAACTAGACACCTAAATATATGTAACCATTAAAAAAAATCATTCATAGTCCATTTCCCTTTGCGTTTTTAAAGTAAAATCAAACTTTAGCATCATTTTTGTATATTCCCTAAAAAACTGAAATCCAAGTGTACCCTTATAATACAGGTTTCAACTACTTTCCACAAATTAGGTGAACTCCAATCACTCTAAACACAACTATATTGAATTTTCAGTAATTAAATTCAATTCTCAATATCTGAATACCACTAACTCAAATCCCACAGCCAAATCAATCCAAAATCCAAATGACACTAGAAGCTACCTGCTAATCAAAATCCTTGAAGATCCAATTCGTTGATGAAAGGTGGCAGCAGCTTTTAGCTCCTCCAAGTTTTTCGCAACTACATTGGGATGCTTACAAGCATCACATGATTTTCCACATAAAGATGCGGATACCTAGTGTGTCCAAGACAATGAATGCAATGAAGTTATCATAAAACAAAACAACATGGTCTGTTTCGATAGAGGTGTTTGGATAGAAGGTTTTGGAGGGGTTTAGGCTATATTTTGATATATATATATATATATATATATATATATATATATATATATATATATATATATATATATATATATATAGGGGAGAGTTCAAATAAAAAGTGGTCTTCCCGTGAAAAGTGCGAAAATTGCACTTTAACATGTTTCGCTTGCACTTTTGCTTGTTGCCGTAGCGCTTTTTCGCCTTTGCGATTTTGGGCAAATTCAACCAAAACCACGGTGGCAGTTTTGTAAATAAATCAATTTTTTTCACCACCGCAAAAAAGCGCAACGAAAACAAGCAAAAGTGCAAGTGAAACATGTAAAAGTGCAATTTTCGCACTTTGCACGGGAAGATTACTTTTTATTTGAACTCTCCCCTATATATATATATATTTATATTTATATATGTATATATATATCAGATTTTATAAAAGAAAACGAAAGATGATCACAATAAGTGTTTGTATAACATTTCAGTCTACTATTACTCATGAGAAACATTATGTTTATCAAAATATAGACAAACCCCTCCATACAGACCCTAAGGAATTAGGAAACATACAAAAATATAGAGTAGTAAGACATGCATACCATCTCCCCGAAGCTCTCAAGGATCTTTTTACGGCGACAACCATCTAGTTCACAGTATTTGACGATCTGAACGTATCAACTTTAAAAAATCAGACAAGTTGAGTACCAAAGTCAATCAAAGAGTTCAAGAAGAACCTGGCTGAAGCTATCAAGGGCCTTCTTTGAGGACCCATCTTGTAAACTTGAAGACTCTTTCTTCCTTTCTGAATTGGTTAAAATGAATTCCTGCAAAGTAAAAGGTGTCTGCTAAAATAGCACAATAATGTTTGGGAAAAAAGAAAGGAGCAAATTAGTTTCAGAGAGAGGTTGAACCATTTTCCGACGATCGTCCATTCCGTAATAAACAACACTTCTGGAGGGCAATTGATCACGGCCCGCTCTACCTGACTCCTGATAAAAAGCTTCCATTGACTTGGGAACATTGAAGTGGAAGACAACTCTGACATCTTTTCGATCTATGCCCTTTAAAAATTGCAAATAAAAGAGTTTTCATGTGTAGTTAAATCCTGTTAGAGCTTGACGAAATGAAACCGAATATTGGGAAGTGCTGAGTGCATACCATCCTGCAGCCAAATCAGAAGCAGTGCAAAAAAGGAATAGATTAAAAATGTGAATTTCAAGCCCAAATATATAATATATATCAGCATAGGTAATGTAAATTTTATCATTAGATGGCTGCCAGCCACCTATCTTTTACCTACATTTTGTTACTTATTCCGAACAAATGGAAAAGATACTCGCATTATAAAGGAAGCCATACCCAAAAGCCACTGTTGCGACGACTACTTGTGTTTTGGAGGAAATCCAATCATCCAAGACAGAGCTTCGCAATGTCTTATTTAGTCCAGCATGATATGCTGAAAATAGAGAATTGTAATTTAAGGAAATGCATACAGAACGAGCCTTCAATTAATATTTCAAAAGAATATTCCATCACCAGCACATGAAATTCCGTAAGTCTTCAGCTGGGTGGCAAGATCATCACATGCTGTACGTTCGAGGCAGTAAACAATTGCACAAACATTTCCCAAAGATTTCAGGAGATTACATACATCAGCATATGGATCATCCAAGAGATCTTTATATCGAACTGCATCATGATGATGCTTAATTTAGCCATGCAGATATTTATCACAATCTAAATTAATGGAAGATGATACTTAATGCAAGATGCAGTGAAGTGTTAAACGATACTAAATGGAAGATGCAGGAGCAGATTTATGCTACTGCATAAATGTACAGACGGAGCTATACATACCGTAACCCGCCATTTAACATTTCGCATATTAGAGTTTTTTTTCCTGTCGCCCCAATTAGATGGGCTTATGCATCATGATATCAAGAAGAACAGAACATAGAAGCTCAACTGGTAGTGAGGCTTCCGGATATACAAATAAGCTTACCATAACCAAATAAAATAGAGAGCAATCGAGCAGCTTAAGAAATTGTTCTATCCGTCTTATTCTTATTTCTTATTGCTTATTCTTATTTTATTCATATCAAATCAGAAATAAACTACTGGGAAGATCATAGCGAAGAAGTCGAGACGTTGTAGATTCAGATCAGATCAGAAACGTTCAGATCAAATCACAAAAGTTCAGCCATGATTTATAACTTTTATTATTATTATTATTATTATTATTATTATTATTATTATTATTATTATTATTATTATTATTATTATTAGTTATAGCTGTAATTATAATTATAATTACAATTATAATTATAGATATGTAATTATAATCAAACTATAACTACAATTATAATCATAGCTATAATTATAATTATACATATACTTATAATTATAATCATTGTGATAGCTATAATAATTATACCTATTATTATTACAATTATAATTATAATAATTATTATATGACAATCACAATTATAGAAATAATATTATACCTATTATTAAAGTTATAGTTATACTTGTGATTATTTTTATAATTATAGTTATAATTGTAATTATTGTTATGATTATAGTTATAATTATAACATAGTAACAAATAATAATAGTGCTAGTAATAATAATAAATTTTATTATTATAATAATATTTATATATCAATCATCATTTACCCCAGTGCCACAAAGGCTCCCACCTACGGTGGGGTAAGGGGGGTCGGATATACGCAGTCTTACCCCTGTACTAAAGCACAAAGAGACTGTTTCCGGATGACCCATAGTGAAAATCGCATCCAAAATTGCATTGATTGACCGCTGCTTCATAACAAAGAAGCGCAGATAGTTAGGTGAGCCGTTTTGCTTTATTCCATCATATTCTCAATCCAAAAAATAATGAATCTTTTGCTCCATTGCAAATAATGGAAACAAAAAAATTGGACCATTTCTCGATTTGTTCGTGCAATTATAATAATAATTATTATTATGATAATAATACTAAACACTCAATCAGATGAGATCAGAAAGATTCAGATTAGATCAGAAAAATTCAGACCAAATCAGATCTTAAAAAATCCAAATCAGAAACATTCAGATCAGACGAAAAGAACAATGGTGATTAGATCTGACCTTCATAATAGATATTTGGGCGGTTGAAAGAAGATTTGAGGACTAGAGGACTCTCCAAAGACAATGATCCAATGATATCATTCTGAACTCTGCACAAAAAATCCCAAAATGTGGATAACTATTATTAGATAGTTCTCTTTGCACAACGGATTGTTTGGTTTGAGCATTTGGCAGGGAAGCGGAGGATCGTTTTTTTTTACTAATTCATGTGTATTTGTTAGCTGAACCCAAAAACTTTTATGACTAAGGCTTGGGTATTGTTGTTGTTGATGATGATGTGTATTTGTTAGGTTTGGACTAGAAAAAACAATATGACTAGTTAGATCATACTCCATATATTTCTACATAGTTTTGTCTTCACATTAACTCAAACCTTCTAAATGCAGAAATAGTTAAAAAAAATTAAACATCACCCCTCTCCTTCCCTCCCCTCCACGATATCCTATCAAACAAGCCCTGTGTGCAGTTAATAATAAGGATTACGTGTTAGCAAGGTTTCATTTCATCAAAATCTTCTGAACTTTTTTGGTAACAATGATAAGTGACAAGTCAAGATCATTAGATTACATGTACTAATCTTCAGAATGGTGTCTTTATAGTAATTTAATAAAAGAAGTTATACACTTCGACCCACAAGCAAAGGTCTTCTTTTATCAAGCTACAACTTTTACTCCGTGTAACTTTTTAATTCTGGTAAAGTACAACTCTGGTAAATTATCAATCCTACTTATGTTTTAATTACATCGTATTGTTCGTTCAAAATATACTTAAACTTGTTTGGAACACTTTTTCCAGAAAATATACATTAAATCAGTGAAATTTTAACATCTTTAGTTGAAATTGGAATCTTTTTGGGACAAAATTAAGTTTACAAACACGACTCTTTGGGATGGAGAAATAGGTAAGAAAGGTTACAACTTACTCCTTCTCCGAGTATTTTCCCACAAAAACCGCTTTTACTTCTTGCCTCATGAAGAAAAATATCATTTTATGGAAGGTTGTTTCAGAATGTTAAAAAGAATATGAGATGGCAAATCCAACTACAGATCTATTTGAGAACAAAGATAAAAACTCACTTTGGAGCAGCCGTGGCTGTCAAGGCCAATACTGGGATATTTGGCAGGTGGCTCCTTAAGGTAGAAAGCTTCCGGTAACTAGGCCTTAGTTGTGCAAACAATGATATTAAAAAGTAAATGAGAGAGTCAGATAATAAATCGCCACCAAATAAAACCAATCAAAAGAAAGTAGGAATACAATACAATATGAAATGCATGAGTCGAGAGGTTATATAAATCTCAAAAGGCAGTAATGAAGATCCACTAACACTTGAGCCATAGACTATGTGAGAGCTTTTCGTTATAACCAAAAGATGTTCACCTCAAGTCCAGAAAATTAGAATAGAAGTACTTCGTATACATGTACAATAATATATGTTTACCTGAAGTCATGGCCCCATGATGAGATGCAATGGGCCTGTTGTTAATGACACAAAAAATGCCTAATTATCTTACTTGTGAGATAAAATAATAGAACACTCAACTTTAAAATGTCAATATACTCCAGTTGATTTAGTTATGGAAGATCATTGGATGGTTCAAAAGTCAAAACCTCATCAATAGTAATAAGGTTTAGCAATCCTCTTGAGTGAAGCTTCACCAGTCTTGACTTGAACCCAATTGTATCAATTAATTCTGGTGTAACGTACAATAACCTCAGAGATGGCTTCACAGATTCCAGGTCCTCGTATATCTAACATTTAAAGAAAACTTCAGTCCCTTAAATTTTAATTATCCCTGAGCACAGTTATTCCTGCAGGAAACAAAAAAAAAACTCTTCTCTGGCACAAGAGCACCCAAAAAAGGCAGAAGGCTAACTATCCAGAACCGTCCACGAAACAGCCCACCCTGAGAGATAAATTATGCCAAAATCTATCATTGTGTGCATTATAAAAAAGTACCCTAGCTTACAAAAGTTATTTCAAGGGCATTGACACAATGGTCTGTACATATTGAGCATACGTGACTTGATAATAGCTAGACTACATTATCTGCAGCTTCCTACTTGAGAACTTATTAAATGCCAAATATGTCATCTGTAATTCTGTATCTGTCAGATGTCATTATGGACTAAAACTGGCAAGAGCATCTGGCTTTTATTGCTTACATATTAGACAAAACTCCACAACCATTTACTTATGAGAGGCTGCAATTCAGTGATGTCTTCTGGTCAGTGTTTACCTGTTTTCTTACTTGCGAGGTCTGGCTTGACGAGAGGAACTCAGCTGGAATTCCTTTGTCTTTCAACGCAGAAACTTGATTCTCCTGGTTTATTAGAAACAAGAAGCATATAAATAACAGGAAAAACAAACAATACCTAGGTATAACAGAAAATGGAATATGCTACTTAGGCACTCACCATGAGAGCTGAAACAAATGAAAGACCAATAAAGGCAGGCATGATCCTATCATTTGCAATAGAACACAAAAAACATGTAGCTTGTGATTCCTTCATGAGATGAAATAAATAGAAGTATCAAGGAAGTCACCTATTAAAGGGCTAACTACAAGTACAATCCCAGGTTTAGCAAGAGCAGGAATCTGGTAGCACATTGATTTTCCCCCACCGGTTGGCATCAAGCAAAAACAATCCCTTCCTACACAATAGACCAACATAAATAGTTGGTAAAAGGAAGATGGTAAAAACAACACAGTTTTTTAAGTTTTTAAGTAATACTTTGCCAATTAGGCAAGTATCACAGAGTCACAAATGCGGGAAACAGTATTTCAAATACATAAAGAATACAAAAATGTGAGGCAAATGCCTAATGTGTAAATATAGGATATGTTTTCATATTGTTTTCATAGACATGCATATTTTTCACATATATCATACATCATACATGTATATATAGGGTTCGGGTAAAAAAAAGAGGTCTTAACATGTGAACAGTGCGGAATGCACTTATGCAGTGCTACGGTGCACTTCTCTGCTTAGGTACCGCACTTTTTCACGTTTGCAAAAAAATTCATTTATTTGCAAAATTGTCACCGCATGTTTTTTATAAAAAGTGCATCTTTACATTTGCTTAAACTGCAGGAGCTGATCATATAAGCGCAGTCGAGGTGATTATAAGTGCATTTCAAACTTTTCACACATTAAGACCTCTTTTTATTTGATTTGCAACCTATGTATATATATATTCATATAAACTATACTAGAAAACTAAAGACAAAAATAGTTTGCATGTTCAAATATATGAATTGTTCACATTGTAGTATCAATGTAATATGTTTCCAACAATGCATTACCCTCTACAATGTCCTGAAGACAATGTTACTTTGCAGACAATCAAGAATTCTCATAGAAATACATAAAAGATTCTCATTAAAAGACAATAAATTCCAGCAAGAAAGCCCATCAATAAAAGACCGGATGTTTCATAAATGTTAATCCAACAGTGAAACAAGTTTCCCAATATCTAAGAATCCGGAATGTGAAGTTTCTGACTTTTTGGCTCATTCCTGAGTATTTGAAACGGCAAAACACAAGCTTTCCAGGAGTGCGCAGTTTCCATGCTGCCCGATTAGCAGGCCAACGCACCATAATAGCTACAATATTCATGGCTCTGAGCCTCAATCATGCTGAATGTATTCATTTAAAGGAAATACCTGACAAAACAGCCTCAATAGCTTCTAGCTGCTTGCCCTGGAAGTTGGGGTGCCCGAAATGCCATCTCAAAAGCTTCACCAAAGCTTCCTTCTTAACTGCCTTCTCAGGTCCACATATGTTTAGCAGCGGCAATTGCGACTTTTTCATTTTCTTCGAAGCTTTCCTGTGGATTAGCACTGACATATTTCGAAGCTTAAGTAAATCATATTTAAACTTTAAATATTAGACTCCAGCATATATAATCCTCTAAACTAAACTTTTTAATTGTATACTGCCCACCCAAGAAGAAGTGAAACTGGTAATCTATTCTGTCATTCGCAATGGCAAAAACACATGAACATTTGAACACGCGTAGGAAGAAATTAGAGGGAAGACAGCATAAATGATAACGATAAATTAAGAAAATTGGGAAATTGAAATGAGGAAACCTAGCACGCTAAATCATTACAGTTAATTGTCAAAGTATAAGATGATCTGGAAGCGCTAAATAATTACAGTGAATTGTCCAGAGCTGGAGAAGGCGACTCCAAATGGTTGATGGTCCGTGCTTTGCCGGGAAAGCGTAGGGGTGCAGTTGGGCTTTGCAATGGTAATAAAAATAATTCCCGCCGGCCGTGGCACCTGAAATGTTAATTTTGTTGATCAAGGGTTAGCAGATCACGTTTTTGACGCTCTATTAGTAGGATAATAGAGGATTAATGATACTAGTAATAAAATATCTACCGCTCAAGACCAGATTTAAACAGATCAATCCAATTTAAAATATTTATGGAATCTAGATCAGATCATATCAACCTATTAAGTTGTTGATGAGTGGCTAAATTTAATCGGACACCCTACTTTGATTTGGCACAAGATAAATGCGACGAATTCATATACGTAGTAAGAAAAAACTTATATGAACATCGATCAAAATAATCATTTACAGTAACTTCAATTAATTCAATCAGATAAGTATCTTTAACTATAGTTTTTTTATCCAACACCGCGCTAAAATGAAGAGTTATAGGAGTATTTTATGAAAAATTGACATATAAGATTGATAAAATCGAAAAATAGCTTGGTCAAAAGGGCTCTTAATTTTACTTGCCTAGTTTGAAATTTTGAATATAAAGCTTGTATGGCTAACGAACTTAAAAATAATTTAATTCATTTTCAAGTCAAAATATATTCATTCAAATTAATTGTTTAGTTATTTCTTTTAATATCGAACGGACACCATTCTTTTAATTTTATATAAATCAACATAAATTTTATTGTTATCACTAACAAAAAATAGCAAGTATACAATAACGTTCTTTTATGTCTTTTCATAAATTGCCAACGTAACCAGCCACTCAAAATAGCTAATTCAACCGGTTGTTATCAAACCACTAATAAACTGCTTTTAGCCAACGGTCACCGGCCCGGGCCCGGTTGGAAACCGGGCTGGTTTCGGGCCCACCCCCAAAAAATAAAAGCCCGATTTGGACCGGCCCAGAACCGGTCCATGCCTAACTAAAAAGGGGCTGTTTTTTTTCAAATTCAATCAATTTTAATTAGTTTACACGAGCAATTGGGGCAAATGGATGTTACTTTTGGCATCGTCGTGTACCAAATACTACGGAGTAATTGTCAAGGTAAATTGATTCAAATCGGCCTAAAAGTTTGAACTTTTATGGTAAGGTTATGATATAGTCAATTAATTAAACGAAAAGAAATAGTGGGCAAGTCATTTTTCATTTTATATTGTCGATATATGCTCTTGTAGCAAATGCAACACTGAAGGGATGCGAGAGGAATGTTAGAAAAAACAGTAGATATGTTTACAGTTTTACACCGTCATTGGGGACGTGGCCCATGTGGAAGGTTAGTAAAAAAGAAAAACAAACAATAGAATGGATGTTCATATCAGACAACAACATCATGTTCAGTGGTCACTATACAGAGGAGGATACATCTTTCACTGCAAGAGGTTCATACCATAGAGGCCCAAACCCAGCAGCCTCTCTAGCAGCCACATTGAAAGGCGGCTTTAGCGGACCTCTGAAATGCGCTTTTACAGTGGCATGAAATTTTCTAATCACTTCTTCATCAACGTCGGCAGTGCTCACATCACCTTGCAACAAGAGGATGTCATCGCCTAAATTTGGATTTCTTGACCTCAAGCAAAGGTACTTGAACCATTTCACCCCAGCAGCACAGTGGGTTATCTCTTCTGGGTAAATAACCGTCTCTAGCAAGTCAGCCGTCTCATTATCACCTCCATTTCGGAAACGTGAGATTGTTGTTGGCACCACATCCAGTCCCCTAGCCTTAATTCCAGGACAGTAAGTTGTTGGACGACACACACACAAATCAATATATATGCTTTGAATACAACAAAATGATATTATGTTTGATCATTGTTATGTGATATATATTCTGTTTGATCATTTTCAATATCTATAGAAAACATTGTGAACTCAGAATCAGCAGCACATCTTCAAAAAGGTGATTTTTTTCTTGCTATATCGCTTTGTTGTGATTAAACTACAAGGCTATATGTCTGGAGTGAAAGCAATTGTAGAATTAACATCAAATTAAGTCATGCTCACAAATAGAGGTGATTTGGTTTTATTTTAAGAACACTCCATATGACTTATTCAATCCTAATAAAACAACAAAAACAGTTCAAACTTTTTCTTCTAGTAGTGAATGCGGTATTTTCTCAAGACAAAACAATGATAGTCCGATTGAGGAAATATGTTATGGGGAGAGTGAAACCTCATGAACACAATGTTCAATTGCCAATCTTGCCAACAAATCCTTGGAGGTAGCCATGGCTGAATCCCAGAGGCCATCATGGGCTGGCAATGCTCCATAAAAGGAGCCCAGCTCCTTGAGCCTTGCAGCAAGCATCGAAAAATGCCTGCCTTCATCTTGTGCGACCTTAACAAAATCTGTGAAAAAATCTCTCGGCATTGATTCTTGCTTACCAAAACGAGCAATTATGTCCTAAAAAGAATGGATGTATCACAAAACAAGAAATAAGAAAAATTTATGAGAGTTACTCAGATTAATAACAGCAAATAAATGAAAACAAGTTAAATGTAGGATTTTCATCTTATCTAGATTATGCAAGTGTGAGGTAACCAGATCTTTTCTAGGTGAATAGGCCCAATTAATAAGTGTGATCTATTTTAGATTTATTCGTTTGCTTGGCACTCATGGTTATTTGAGATCAATTTGACCGGTTGTTTAACCCATGAAGTTGCTAAGGCCGATTGTGTCAAGTGTCTGCATTGAATGCTAGTCAAGGTCTTTATCTAATACTTCGTACTTCCCCAGTCTCTCTTTCTTTGTCCCATTTTATCTTTTTTCATGTCCCATTAAGTTTGTCCCATAACATATTTGGTAATATTTGGATTATTGCAATTCATTCTTACTTCACTTTACCAATTAAATATCAACCACACAATTTCACTTTCTTAATAACCGCACCACTCCCTCTTGTATTAATCTTAGCAATGTAAAATTGTTTTAGATCATAAATAAGACTTGCAATTTGGAATCTTGGTTGATAGTTTAACTAAACTAAACATATTAGTGTTGTTTCTATTCCATTTTTTAAGCTGATCTCTTAAAAACTTATCTTAGTTTAATTAAAAAAAAAAGTTATACTAGTATCTTCTTACAGAGTTTCTTTTTAATAGTAATTGCTATGAAAATTAGGAGATAGGGATTTTTATCTTTATCAGTTTTTTGGCTAACTTGGTGTATACCTCTGGATAAATTTAATACTCCTTATTATATGTTTTGAACATTGTTTTTATGTTTGAAGGTAGTTGATGGTATGAATTCCTTTTTGCCCAGTAACAGAAATATGTGGCTTCTTCACTGCTTACAAAGACAATGGAGATATGCGTAATAAGTTAGCAATTTACATAAACACAACCTTATCAATTCTTCAAGTAACCCAGATATTAGGTACCCCATAACTCTGAAGAAATCAAGAAAAAATGAAAAATAAAAAGAAAGAGATATACCCAAGACAAGTCAATAGCCCAGCTTTCAATGTGAACAAGACTGTGCACAATGGCTTGTCTACTCTGCAAGCTTCCAGCTTTCCCGAGCTTCGGCATCATACTCGGTGATACTAGCTTCACCTACGGATTAAAATCTAACTGATATAAAAAGAATGTGTAAGGCTCTAAGATCGCAACAGGATGGGAATAATAATAATAATAATAATAATAATAATAATAATACAATCTTATTCAGTGGCGAATTTCGTCGAACAGGTGAAGATAAGTAAGGGCAAGAAGCGTAAGTTACTTACATCAGTGAGCCTTGCAGGGCGGTGAGGTACTGGGGGGTCTAGGGAGGAGTCATATGGCCGGGAAATGAGGCCCTGGAGCCATCTGTTGGCGACGTCATCTCCGATCCGGGCCTTCTCCACCGGGTCAGCTGTGTTCAATACTCGGAGCGCCGCTTCCACCAGTGTTTCCTCTCCGCTCATCTCCACCCCTTTCGCACTCAAATCAAATCTCTTTCGTAATTCAATTTGAAACAAAAAAAAAAAAGATGATTTAGAGTTGTATTGGAGGCTGAGCAGCAATGTCCGGAAAAAAAACTAGGGAAAAGGGGCAAATAAGCCCTCGAACTACTCAAAAAAGTGCAAATAAGCCCTTTTATAGGAGGTTTCGTTTGTCTATCGTCATTTGGGGAGGTTCCCGGTGGAATTATTTGATGAAATTTTTTGAGCATCTTATTCAATAAGTCTAGTTTAGTCATACCGAATTTCAACTAAAAAATCAATCGGGAAGATAGTCAAATGAATTTTTGAAGATAACTGCGCAGTTAAACAACGCAGTGTAGTTCCGAAAGTCATTTGAGTGCCTTCCCGGTTGAATTTTTAGCTGAAATTTGATATGGATAAACTAGACTTAATGAAGAAGATGCTCAAAAAAATTCATCAAAAAATTCCACCGAGAACCTCCCCAAATGACGATGATCGGACATAACCTCCTACAAAAGAGCTTATATGCACTTTTTTTATTAGTTCGAGGGCTTATTTGCCCCTAAAACTACTACGTCCTTCATCAAAAGAATGTCAATCATCAAATAATGATAACAAGTCACGCCTGGTGGGACTCGAACCCACAATCGTCTGATTAGAAGTCAGACGCCTTATCCATTAGGCCACAAGCGCTTCTTGTCCACTAACTTAAATAAAATTATCAGGGCTAATGATTACGGAGCATTTAAAATTGTGCTTCGTAAATCTCTCGGAGAAATTAATACGGAGTATTCCTTTCTTCTAATAGTACTAGTAAATCACCCGTGCGATGTACGGCCGGAGAATTTCTAACCCATTATTTCGTTCCTAATTTTTTGTAAAACCATAAAAGGCAAAACATTTGTTGATAATAAATAAAAACTCAGGAGTATGGTCACCAAGAAACTACACTAATCAAGATTTAAGTAACAATAAAAATACAAATATAGTAACAAACAAAATGAAACCTATAGTGCAAATAAGTACCATCAGCGTTTAAGAACGGAATTTAATCCAAAATTATTTTGTCATAAGAGGTATTCTTTTACGCAGATGCACAGTTGGTGAATGTCTCCTCATTTTTTCTTCCAAAAATATCTTTTCACAAGCGGTCGCCCGAAA